GAAAGAGGAATTCACCCTCGTATTCTGGTAGGATCGACCTTTGAATTTATACATCATACCTTCGCTTGGAAATAGAAGGGAGCTTGACAATGGTAAAACAAGAGATTCTTCGAACCGCAACTTCACTTGGTGAGATAGAAATGGGATAGAGAATGCAATTTACAGACGGAATGGAAATATTATACCGAATGTAGAAAGATATACTAAAATATACACAGAATAGATAGAAAATAGAATGAATGAAAATGAGAGACATAATGTTATTTTCAGCTTCTGGAGAGCTGGCAGATCGAAAGTGTAGGCGACAGCATCACCATTATCAACTTGGTACCAAATTTGCACCATCTCTCCATGCGCTATTCAAAATTACTCAAGAATTATTTTAACCTTGGCTGTGAAGAGACTGCTCGTCGTCAAGATACATCATTCCTGCATGGTACGTCTATTCAAGATGGACTGACAAGAAGTCGTAATGTTACATAGAGACCAATCCCAACAGGCAAATACACTGTGATACCGTTTTTTTATGAGCTTGCTAGGGATTCGATTTCACCCCATCGCTCCAGCGAGATTCGAACCGGGAGTGTACCAATGCAGAGGCGAACAGGAAATCGAGGTTCTACCCTCTTCTTCTTCTTTTTCTTTTTCTTCTACCCTCATAGAAAAGAGATAAATGTCGAAGAGTAGTCTCAACAATTGACAAATACATCTAGTCACCTTCCAGCAGCCCGTCTGTTCGGAACCTATTCAATGTCCAATGTATGCGTTCAGAACAGTTTGTGGGGCAAATTCGAAAAAAACTGGATTTAAATGAATTAAATTGAGATTACATTGTTGTGGACACCATTATTTAGTAGGCAGATGCATGAAGAATGGATTCCTGGGCCGATCTTACCGGAAGGCGACAGGCGAGTCCCGTTGCTGCGTGAACATTTTGCTTTTTATGCGGCGTCCTTAATTCCCACCAGGATTGCCGCGAAATAAAAAATTGTGGATCGTGTGAAAAATGACTCGACCCATTATCCTGCGACCCCGATCAACCTAAGCCAGGCTCCCGTATGTATCACCCTGAGAAAACTAATCAGAGCAAGAATCCATACTTTATGAAATAGCGCAAAAAATATACTGAATCAAAAGAAATGGTTTAGTTTGTTTTTAGCGCTATTTCATAGAGCTTGGATTCCTGCTCTGATGTGTTTTGTCAGGGCGGTACAGACGTGAGCTTAGGTTAGGTTGATTGGGGTCGCAGGATGGTGAGCCGAGGACTTCCTCACACAATTCAACAGTCTGGTGTGACCATTTCACGAATTTCTTCCAACCAACTTTTCCTTCGAGATTGGAAGTCATGTCGCAAGAAGACTTCTTGGCTTAATATTAACTTGAGACTTTTGCAAGAATAAATTACAAATCTGATGGTGTTCGACACATGATGGACAAAAGCATAGAAAGGTTTAACTCAAAACTAGGGAGAAGGTTTCGTCGACTACGTTGCTGCAGAGCAACGGAAATCGGCTGTCGTCTGCCGGTGAAATCGACCTACAAATCTCTTTTTCATACACTTTCACACGAGATAAAAGTCCATAACACATAGTTTGCGATGCCAGTTGCATCGTTCGCAGTGACCAAAAGCAATCTCGTTTGAGAATGTCCCGTATCAACAGTATCTGATGCTGAAGGAGGGCATGGCAACCGGGCGATTTTCATCGCCTAGAGTTCCTCTCCTTGAAGGGGTTTCCGGGGCTCTTTGCTCAACCCGCCTCGAACCAGACAAATCTGGCATTCGGGCTCGACGAGCCACGAAATGCGGTTACCATTCGAAGTGTGGACGACGCGAAAAAAGGGGAAAATGTACCTTCGAGTGCTTTCTAGTGTACCCGGCCGGCGGCGAGGGTGGTAGCATGCGGGGCTGTGATTTATTGCAGCCCAGCTGACCAGTGAACCAGTGGTCAAGTGAGCCCCAGATAAGGGATCACCTTACGACGAACGGAAACAATTTATGTACAGAGGAGGAGCAAACAAGACACGAGAGATTGTGTCTGCGTGTTAGCTCTGTGGGTGGGGATGAGGGGTGGAGGGGGAAGGGGGGACAACAAAGGGCCGGCTTCAAAGTCGCCCAT